AACGACAGCTTGCAGGGTTTTGGCCTTCTTAGCCCTTGCATAAAATTTTTCCTGAAGCTGCCAAGATTTTGCTTCTTCGCCGATAGCCCTTGTCAGCGTAACCTGTCAATATTCAAGTACTTGAAAATATACGAGCGGAGGAAACAAAGCAATGTTATGATAGTTTAAGCAATGTATGCATTCTTAAACGTTTCGCTAGGTTTGTGTCCATGTATTTGGAATTTTACTAAATGAAAAATATATATACTACACGGAGAAAAAAGTTGGAGAAAAATTACCAAACAAGTGAAGTAATTGTAGAACGAGCTCAATTTCCAAGACTTTTTTACCCGAAATCGGGGAAAAAGAGTAGAACGATGGTGAATTTTTCCGCGATAGATCAACAAAATTTACTGAATGTGAGGGTAATTTGTACCGAAACTAAAATTTATTCTGCGCTCCAACAATAATGGTCCTAGTGAATGTGAATAATTGTGCAATATTGCGTATAATTTTCATGGAACAGAGAGTGACTTTTTACCGAACGCGTTCGATAAAATTTCACTTCCGTCCGTCCTCATATCCTTCAAATGGGTCTAGGACGAGTAATACTCTACCGGTGGGGAAATTTTAATATGCAGGAGGATAATTTTTGCATCCATAGATGTGTTCTTTTGACGAAACGAATCGTAAGATATCCCTTACAAATAAGTATTTTTTCATTGGATTATAATTCGCCCTACGATTACCTTGCGTACAGTAAAAGTTGCCATGATTTTCCATGTAATTTTTATTCAATTTTTCTCTCCCTGTAGGAAGAATTCTTTTATAGTATATTTCGTCATTAGGCCGAAAAAACTTTTCTGGTAAATATGAGGTTTGCAGGACGAGCCGAATTGAATGGTTCAATAAAATTGAGAATGCAAATAAAGTCACTGTGAATTTGCAGGGATGGGAACCTCGAATTACATTTGCAATCGAATTACTTGAAAATTACTAAATATATGTGATGTATAAAATTGCTTCGGGAGAGATTTTATTACACTGAGAATTTTTAATTTGTGATTTTTGATTATCAGTTCCGATAAATTATAGTAATCGATGGTAATTACAACGAAAATTACATCAGAATTTTATTGGGATTAAAAATCAAATCAAATTCATGTATATAATTTACAATGCCCATTCGGAATTCCTCCAGTAACTGAAAAGTCTTTTGGCAAAAAATACCCATTGTGAAGGAAAAAAAATTTGCTGGAGTAAATTACATATTACAGCCGAGATTAGGAATTTCCAATTCCTAACTGAAAAAGGAATTTCGTAATCGTCATTTTCAGATTATAAAATGGTAGAGTAACTGTAATATTCGATTCCAAAATTACAAATTATTCGAGTAATTCTCAGATAATAATTCGCATTACTCATTCAATTTTGTAATCTGACAAATTTAAATTCTCGTGAGTTGTGCCGAAAGGACGTATAGACATTATTTTCTAGATTTTAGAAACTCCTGTTCTTAAACTTTATCCTTGATGGGATCATAAAAACTAATAAATTCGGGGATTGTTTTTAGAAACAAATATTTTCTAAAACCAATACTGAATTTTTCTTAATTTTAGAAAATTTCCAGATTGAACTAAAAAATTGCAACCGAAGTATTTAAAGGGCGTAAGTGCCCCATACATCCGGAGGGGTGCCCAAATATCGGGAATTTCAGATGTGAGGAATGGTGATTTTGCAAAGAGGGAGAGGGGGGAGGAGATTGGGCATTGAGAAATCACAATCGATTAAAATTGAGTTGGTGAGTTTTTCCAAAATATCTCCGAAACTAAAGGAGACTGCGAATATTTACGAAAATGTGGGGGGGGGGGGGGGCATTGAGAATTCACAACCAAGAAAATTGAGTCGATAGATTTTTCAAAAATATCTTCAAAATTAAGGGAGATGGCGAATTTTTACTGAAAATTTGGGGGAAAGGGCGTGTGCATTGAGAATTCGCAATCAAAAAAATTGAGTCGGTAAGTTTTTCAAAAATATCTCCAAAACAAAGGGAAATAGACAATTTTTACTGAAAATTTGGGGCGGGAGGGAGGTAGAAAGTTTTGATTGAATACTCCATGTACAACCCTCCCCCCTTAAACTTTCAGTAAAAATTCACTACCTCCCTTAGTTTCGCAGATATTTTTGAAAAACTTATCGACTCAATTTTTTTTGGTTATGAATTCTTAATATACCCCTCCCCCCCGCCATTTTTGAGACCATTTTATTAGTTAATCTGGAATGAATGATTAACACAAAATTGTAAAGTAGGTGATTTCGCCAAAAATTGGTCCGGTTTCGTTCCTTGAAAATTTTAATTTTGTAGATACTTTTCAGATGGTTTCTTCTACTATCAAAAGACCTTTGAAAAAATCTCTCCATTATCGTCGGAAAAGTCAATTTCTTTGATTTTCGACTTTTTCTCTTCTTTTTTGTTTAAATTCTGGGTGTCCTAAGATATTTTTTGACTCTTCAATATGTATTATTGGCGAAAATTTCCCGTTCTTTCGATTAGGCATGGTTTAAAGTTATTCACATCACCAGAAATATCCTGAAATTGCGAAAAGAGTTAAAAATTCCGCGTTGTATCACCTTTCCCCATCTGGATTGCAGATTTTTCATTTTTGTTGTGGAACTAACTTTTTATTTCGGAAAGTATCCAAAAATGAAGTTGGGATTCCACTCTATCTAAACATAATTTCTGCCCTGTTTTTCCTTTTTTTGATTTTTTTCATTAATTAAAAATGTTTTTGTTTTCCATCGAAAACTTTTTTTTGTGAAGAAATTGAGAAAAGAAAATTTTACTGGAAAAGTATGTATACGATCCCTGGGCTCGAATTTTTAAAGTCTCCTAATTGTTTTTAAGCACATCAAAAACTGTGTTCCGAAAAATTAGGTTCAAATGACCCAGACATATCTGAAACGTAGAAATTCATTATTCCCAAGGAAAGTGTTTATACGACTTTTTTCTCTGTATTTTCAAAAAATTGAAAAATTTCCCATAAAAAAATTAAAAAAATTATCTCGAAAAATTGGGCTCAGATGACTCAGAATCATCAAAAACGTGGAGATTTTCAGTGAAAAAAAATTACGCGTAAAAAAATCAAAAAAATTGTCTCATAAAATTCGGCTCAGATGACTCAGAATCATCCAAAACGTGGAAATGTCGTATTCTCTGGGAAAGTGTTTATACGACCTTTTGGCACAAATTTTCGAAAAAATTAAAAAAATTACGCTTAAAAAAATTAAAAAAATTGTCCCGTATAATTGTGCACAGATGACCCAGCATCATCCAAAACGTGGAGATTTCATATTTTCTGGGAAAGTGTTTATACGATTTTTTGACCTGAATTTTCAAAATTTTTCAAATTCCTTGTAGAAAAATAAAAAAATTGGTTCCGAAAAGATGAGCTCAGATGACTCAGAAACATCTGAAACGTGGAGATTTCATATCCTCTAGGAAAGTGTTTATACGACCTTTTGGCACAACTCACGCGAATTGTCCACTTTAGGGGATATTGAATCTGCACGTTTCAGACGATGCTGAATCGTCTGAGCTCAACCTGTTGCGTATCAAGTACGCGAAATTAACAATCTTTCTATTTTTAAATATNATAAAAAAATTGGTTCCGAAAAGATGAGCTCAGATGACTCAGAAACATCTGAAACGTGGAGATTTCATATCCTCTAGGAAAGTGTTTATACGACCTTTTGGCACAACTCACGCGAATTGTCCACTTTAGGGGATATTGAATCTGCACGTTTCAGACGATGCTGAATCGTCTGAGCTCAACCTGTTGCGTATCAAGTACGCGAAATTAACAATCTTTCTATTTTTAAATATTTAATTCAATCCTTGAAAATTTCCCATTTTTAGTTTAGTATTTTTCCCAAATAATTTCTAGAATTTTAATTATACTCAGCTTTGTCCTCTAGAAAAGTTGTAAACTCATAAAATCACCCGAAAATATTTCTCAAATATCTCTTTTAGACCCTTCAGAATTATTTTATTGAAATAATCCTCATATTTCCTCAAGTTTGTAAAGGACATTTCTCAGAAATTTAATCACTGCCAAAATTTGTCCTAATCCCTTCATTCAACTCAAAAATTTGTATTTCCAAATTACTTTATAGTTTCTTTCCGTTTATTGCGCTCGACCCTCAACGGTCCCGCAATATTTTCGCTCAGACGCCCTTTATTGGGGAATAGGCCCAAGGCGCGCCAATTTCTCCCTCTCTCCCTACTTCCTGCACTTCCGAATTTTCCATGATACCTCTCCAATCAGAATATTGTCCCTCCCATCACAGGTCATTTTGACCAATCATTGGAAAATTTAGAAAAATCATTTTCCTCCTCCACTTTTCCATCCCTTCTACTTTGAAAATCCAACTTGTCCAAAATTTAATATTTTGTAATCAGTTACGAATTTCATCCCTAGGAAGAAACACCTTATCGGAGGTACCCTCGTGCATTATACCTCTCTACCAAATCTTGTTAAAAATAAATATCGACTTTGTTAAAACGTGAGTAATCATTCCAAGTCTCCAATTATCCAAGTCTCCTCACCTTTAATTGCTCTCATCGAATTCACCCCTTTCATTAAAAAAAAACAGCTACACAAAGATTATTTCGGCGTGTAGCAAAAATTGCAAATATTGTTCTGTGTAGGTCAGATTTCTGGAATTTACGACTCCAGAAAGTTCAAAATCGAACGCAGTATTCTCGCATTTTAATTCATGGTCCTTCGAGCCGGATAGTTTAAAGCCACTCGTGTATAGAATCAGTGTAATTATTCTCACATAGACTCAGTGTGACAACTCGCGAATAGACTCAGTGCGCATAGTGATATTAGTGACTCTCGTATGAACTTTGCATATCGTTGCAAAATAAAATCTCTCACGCCTCCACTCTCCGCACCGGGGGAGCCCCATAACAGTTTATGTTGCCGCGTAGTCCCGAACGTGGAAATCCAATCACAAACATGGCTCAGGTCGAAGTATTAAAAAACAAACGCACAGCTCTGAAGACTAGAATCACCAAGTGCAACAATTGGATCCAAGCAGATGGCAGAAATGCAATGGTGGAACTCATAGAAGAAAAGTTGAAAACCATTCGAGAAAAGTTCGCTGCATGGGAACAAAGCAACGCCACCCTCCTCGAGCTGGACCTGGACCACGTAGCTGTAAATCTAGCAGAAACCGAGGCTGTTGAAGATGCTTATCACAACGCAGTAGCATCGCTGAAACATTTGATCAACTCCAAGAATCAGCCTCCCTCATCACCACCAATCCCTCAACAGACGCCAGCTGCTGGAGCTAGCTATCCTCCGCAGTTTAACATGAAATTGCCTGAAATAACTCTCGACAAATTTGATGGCAGTTTTGACAAGTATCGACCATTCAGGGACCAATTCAATGCTCGTCTCCCAAGTAGCGTTGGAAAGATCATCCGACTTCAGTATCTTCAATCGCTAGTGATTGGAGAAGCTCGACAAGTGATCGAAGCATTGGAGATCACTGAAAATAACTACGAAGTAGCCTGGGATCTACTGGACAAGAAATACAACGTCCCCAGGCAAGCTCTCCGACGCCATTGCTCTCTACTTCTCAACGTAGGAAAGAGGAACAGAGAGAGCAACAAATCCCTCACAGACCTGGTGAATTTTGTACGCCAACAATTACGATTGATCAAGGCCTTCGGCGGCCCAGAAGAGCAGCTAAATGGCCTGATCAGCACCATTATCCTCAATCAGCTGGATGATGACCTCGTTTTCCAATGGGAAACACATATCGAAGGCAATGACATGCCGAAGCACGAGCTACTCCTCGACTTCCTCGAAAAACGTGGAATCTGTGCCAAAAGCAGTACAGAATCTTCCAAAAATAACAAACAGAAGAGTGACCAACTGAACAGAAACCCCACACAAAAGAGCTCACAATTCAAACAACAAGGTAATTCTTCATCTAGTCACTCAACCCCCAAGGCACAAACTTTCTTCTCCAACGTCATCAGAAAGTGTCCAGTCTGTACTGAAGAGTACAGAATTTATGAATGTCCAAAATTCATGGAGATGGACATCGAGAAGCGTAAGAAGGTCATCTTCAATCAAGGCCGTTGTCTCAACTGCTTCGCCAAAGGACATGGAGTCAAGGAATGCAAGTCGAAGTATTTCTGCAAGACTTGTAATGATCCAGAAGCTAAGCACCACTCACTACTCCACTACATCAAGGAATCTTCAACAGCACCAGGCACCACCAGTGCATGACTAAATACTCCAAGCAGCCCAACCGCATCACCATCTCACTGCCGCTGGACTCAGTAGGACAAGACATCCTGCCCACAGCAATCATCAATCTTCTCAACAAGAATCGTCAACCAGTACCATGTCGTGCCCTCATCGATACTGGATCCACAAGAAACTTCATTACTCAGGAATTGGCTGCTGAGCTTGGCATCACCAAGGTAACTTGCTCTATCCCCATCGGAGCTCTGGATCAACTCTCAACAATCGTACGCCACAGAATCAACACCACAATCACCTCTCGTTTGAACAAGTTCAAAAAAGAATTGAGTTTCTTAATAGTCCCAAGAATCTCATCTCTCATACCCAGTGAGCAAATTGATAGAGATTCACTGAAGATTCCCAAGAATTTGCCCCTCGCAGACCTGAACTTCCACAAGCCTGCTCCAATCCAGGTTTTGCTGGGATCCAGTACCTCCATCTCTGTTCTCAGCATAGGACAAATCAAACTCCCCAACTCTGCCGACGTTCATCTTCAGAAAACTCTATTCGGCTGGATTGTCTGTGGCAGTATGAGTGACGAGTCCGACCACGATCAAGCAAAATGTCATTTCACCAAAATAATTGATGAGTTCAAAAGATTTTGGGAAATCGAGGACATTGGGCTCAGGGAGAGCCAACAATCAGAAGAAAAAGCAGCCTGCCAGCTTCATTTCAAGCAGCACGTGTCACGCAATTCCGAAGGTCGGTATGTAGTGGCACTTCCCTTCAACGAGAAAAAGGCTCAACTCGGCACCTCATTCCTCCAGGCGAAACGTCGCCTTCTCTCACTAGAACGAAAATTCCAATGGAACCCCAAGCTAGCAGAAGAGTATACCAAGGTCATCAACGAGTACATTGACCTTGGCCACATGAAGAAGGTTGACACAGAGGTAGAAGATGGCTTCTACCTTCCCCACCATGCAGTCATCAAGGAGATCAGCCTCACCACCAAGACTAGAGTTGTCTTCGACGGATCAGCTCGCTCCAGTACTGGTGTATCTCTCAATGACGCCCTGATGGTTGGTCCAACTATTCAGGACGATATTCTACCTCTAGTGCTACGATTCAGGCTCCACAATTACATACTCACTGGTGACATCGAGAAGATGTATCGCCAGGTTCTTGTGAGACCCGAAGACACGAAATATCAACGTATTCTCTGGCGAGAGAAAGATAAGATCAACACATACGAGTTGCAGACAGTGACGTTTGGACTCTCCTCTGCTCCATTCTTAGCAGTCAGATGCCTACACCAGTTGGCTGATGATGAACACGAAAGGTACCCAGTAGCAGCTGAACGACTAAAACGAGACCTCTATGTCGATGATCTTCTCACTGGGGCAGCTACACTTGAAGAAGCCCTGCACCTCAGAGATGACATCATGAACCTGCTCAAAGAAGGCGGCTTCAACCTACGACAGTGTGCCTCCAACTCCCCAGACATTCTCCAAGGTCTACCAGAGTCAACCGTCAATCTTCAATTACTCGGTGGGGATGATCCTACCCTCAAAACCCTAGGAATCCATTAGGATTCGCAGAATGATAGTATTGTGTATACTGTCAACCCCATCGCCACCAGGGATGTCATCACCATGAGGACCATTGCATCAGACGTTGCACGAATCTTCGATCCACTTGGATTACTGAATCCAGTGGTAACACACGCCAAGATCATACAACAAGAACTCTGGAGACTCAAATTAAATTGGGATGACTCTACACCGACAGAAATTCATACTAAATGGAATGAATTTGCATCACAACTTCCTCTCCTCAACAAAATGCAGTTCAAACGACAAGTTACATCGAATCTCAAGCATTTAGAAGTGCACGGTTTCTGTGATGCCAGCCAGAGTGCGTACGGAGCCTGCAATTATCTCAAGTCAATCGATGACAACGGAAAAAGCCAGATCAACCTCTACTGTGCTAAATCTCGAATCACTCCTCTCAAAGGCAATCACACCATCCCTCGCTTGGAACTCTGTGCAATGGAACTCCTCTCTAACCTGTATGACACAGTGAAGAAAGCAACAGACCTCACACCACAACGAGAAGTTTTTTGGTCAGACTCTACTGTCGCTCTCCACTGGATTAGAACATCTCCTCACCTCCTTCAACGATTCGTGGCTAACAGGGTGTCTCGAATCCAAGATCTCACCAAGAACATAGAGTGGAGACATGTACGCACACACGACAATCCCGCAGATGCAGTATCCAGGGGTGAACTTGCCTCTGACTTCTTGAAGAATCATCTGTGGCTGCATGGACCCAGCTGGCTCCATGATCCTGAAGAGCATTGGCCTCATCTCCTCATAGAAAAGCCCTCAGAATTACCTGAACTTCAAAAAATTGCTTGTCTTCATGTCACTGAACCCGCCAGCAATCTCTTTCTACGTCGGTATTCCTAATTTGAAAAGCTCAAACGAATCACTGGATGGTGCTTAAGGTGGCGCAAGAGACTTTCCCACAAATATCTCACTCTCCCAGAACTTGAAGCAGCCGAAACTAAACTTCTCCAACTAGTTCAAGAAGAAGCCTTCTCCACAGAACTCTCACTACTTCGGCAAGGAAAACCTCTTTCTTCAAAAAATCGTTTAAAAAACCTCAGTTTGAAACTCGATGACAATGGACTCATTCGAGTTGGTGGTCGGCTAAGAAAGGCTCGTAATTTTCCCTTAGATGGCAAACATCCCACATTGCTACCAAAGGGGCATTACATCACTCACCTCCTCATCAAGAAAGCTCACTTGGCCAATCTTCACCCAGGCATCCAGACAACTCTTCATCTACTCAGGCAGCGATACTGGCCCATTGATGGGCGCAGTCAAGTACGATTCATCATTCACAAGTGCATCAACTGTGCCAAGGTAGATCCACCTTCAGTCAACTACCCCATGGCAGATCTCCCGAGCGCACGCATCACACAGGCAAACCCCTTCACTCACACTGGTGTGGACTATTGTGGTCCCTTCCTCATCAAAGAACGAAGATACCGTAATCTCAAGAAAATAAAAATTTGGATCAGCATATTCGTGTGCTTCACAACAAAGGCAGTACACATCGAACTCATCAATAACTTGACCAGTGAAGAATTTTTGGCTACACTCAGCCGATTCATCTCTCGACATCCCTCCTGCAAGGCTCTCCACTCAGATAATGCAACAACATTCATCGGTGCAAACAAAGAGTTGAAGGAACTCTATACACTTCTCAACGACGAAAAGCACGGTGAATTCATCAATCGAAAGCTGAATGAACAAGGCATCGAATGGAATTTCATCCCCCCTGTATCTCCTCATTGCGGTGGCATCTGGGAAGCTGCCGTGAAGTCTTATGCAACATATGAAAAGAGTTATTGGAAATGAATTGTTAACATATCAACAGTTCAATACTTTCTGCATCAAAATTGAGGGAATCCTCAATTCAAGACTATTGACTCCATTATCATCTGATCCAAACGATTTCAACGCTCTCACACCTGCTCACTTCCTGCATGGAGACATTACCACTGATCTCCCTGCACCTGACTGGACAGAGGTCCCTAGCAATCGTCTCTCTTACTGGCAACACTTTGAGAAGATTAAGCAACATTTCTGGAATCGGTGGCATAAGGAGTACCTCTCCGAACTCAACATCCGTCATAAGTGGACTTCAGGACACCATGACATTAGCGTTGGAGCATTGGTGCTCTTGCGCGACGACAATTTACCCCCTCTAAAATGGCGCATGGGCCGTGTCATTGAAATCTACCCATCAGACGATGGCATCACCAGGAAGGCTAGGCTGCGGACATCTACTGGAGAAGTAGATCGAAACGTTCGACGCTTGGCACCACTGCCCGTGGACTCCAGCAACTCCAAGGAATAATTGATCACTCAGCTCTCAACGGGGGAGTATGTTGCGTATCAAGTACGCGAAATTAACAATCTTTCTATTTTTAAATATTTAATTCAATCCTTGAAAATTTCCCATTTTTATTTTAGTATTTTTCCCAAATAATTCTTAGAATTTTAATTATACTCAGCTTTGTCCTCTAGAAAAGTTGTAAACTCATAAAATCACCCGAAAATATTTCTCAAATATCTCTTTTAGACCCTTCAGAATTATTTTCAAAAATATTTATTTCGGAGATATGATTTTTTCTTAGTTTTTTCATTTTTCTCCGATATCTCGGGTTCTATCGATCCGATTTTGATATTCCATGCGTCAAAATGTTCAATTTTCTACCACCTATAAGAATATCATGGGTAAAGTTTTTTATCCAATCTGTAAGCGCTCATAATTACGAAATATCCAACGAAAAAGTTGAAAAACTCGAATTTTCGAAATTACGTCACGTTTGATTTTCCTCATGTTTTTTTCAATGATTCTTATAATCAAAACAAGTATTTTGAGCCGTCATATAAGTTGGGTTTCGTCCTAGATATATTTTAATTTAAAATTTTTTTCTGTTCCGCAAATTTGGTCAAAACATACCAAAACATCTTTGATTATAGATCGAAAAAATATGTAATATATAGGTAAATCCACTTCATACCGATTATAATCAAAGTCAATCAACTCCATTCTGGGATATTTTGACCAAATTCGCAGAATTTCGAAGAGAAAAAATTAAAAATAAAATAGATCCAGGACGAAACCATTCAAAAATTAATTTCTCCTCTCCCCAATTGAGATGAAGGAATGAAACCAAAGCCTACCGATAGAGAATTGTATTTTTAATAAATGACATCGGTTTCATTTCTTAATCTTAATGAGGAGCGAAGGAATGAATTGCGATGGAGGAATGAAAGCAGTATCTATCGATCGAGAATTATATTCTCAATAAATGAGAACGGTTTCATTCCTTAATCTCAATCAGGAGAGGCGGAATGAATTTTCAAAGCGGGCATTAACGCCGGAGAAGTTCTTCTGATTCAAAAATTAATTTCTCCCCTCCCGAATTGAGATGAAGGAATTCAACCAAAGCCTATCAATCGAGAATTGTATTTTTAATGAATGCCATCGTTTTCACTTCTTAAGGGTGCCAAGTGAATTTGGCGATGACCTTGAAAATTGACATTCACCAACAAAGTTATAATTTTTTAAATTAATAGTATTAGACAGATGGTGAACATCGGTGACAATTTTAAAATTTTAGAACTTATGGATATCGAGAAATTGAATAAACAAAATCAGTCTTATACACGGCCTCTTATGGGGTTTTGATTAGATTGAACGTTTCAACCCCCTAGGAACTCAAGAAAAATTTGAAAAAATTTGAAGATATGGCGAATGATCTGTTCAATGTGATGGCGATAAAAAACAATGAGGTACCAGGGTGAATAAGAGAGATATTTCAACCCGCCATACCCATTTGATCCCATGCTTTCTCGAGGTTCGTCACGCGAAGTAGAGGATTTTCCGCATTTATTTTCTCGATGTCTAGTTCCGGTTGCGGGTTTGAAATTTCATCCAATGGATGAATACATATTTCTCCAGTAATGGAGGGAAAGAAAAATTTTTTAAAAAATCTTTTTTCAAATTCATTTGGCACCCTTAAGCTCAATTATGGGCGGAGGAATGAATTTTCAAAAGCGTGGAGTAACTCCGAACGGCTCTCCGGCGTCGAGTGAGCCCGGAGGTTCTCCCCCGATTGGAAAATTCATTTCTCTCCCCCTAATTGGGATGATGGAATGAAAGCAACGTCTATCGATCGAGAATTATATCCTCAATAAATGACAGCGGTTTTATTTCTTAAGCTCTATTAGGAGCGGAGGAATGAATTTTCAAAGCGCGGAGTAACTCTGGACAAGTTCTTCTCGCGATAGAAGTTACTTTCATTCCTTCATCGCAATTAGGGGGGGAGAAATGAATTTTCCAATCAGGGGAGCCTCTCCGGGCTCACTCGACGCTGGAGAGCCGTTCGGGGTTACTCCGCGCTTTTGAAAATTCACTCCTCCGCTCCTAATTAAGATTAAGAAGTGAAACCGGTGTCATTTACTGAAAATACAATTCTCGATCGATAGGCGTTAATTTCACTCCTTCATCTCAATTACGGAGGGGAGAAAAGAATTTCTAAATGAAAAGAACTTGTCCAGAGTTTCTCCGCGCTTTGAAAATTCATTCCTCCGCTCCTAATAGAGATTGAGGAATGAAACCGCTGTCATTTATTGAGAATATAATTCTCGATCGATAGACGTTGATTTCTTTCCTTCATCCCAATTAGGGGGGGGGGAGAGAAATAAATTTTCCAATCGGGGGAGCTCCCCTGGGCTCACTCGACGCCGGAGAACCGTTCGGGATTATTCCGCGCTTTTGAAAATTCATTCCTTCGCTCCTAATTGAGATTAAGAAGTGAAACCGATGTCATTTATTAAAAATACAATTCTCTATCGGTAGGCTTTGGTTTCATTCCTTCATCTCAATTGGGGAGGGGAGAAATTAATTTTTGAATGGTTTCGTCCTTGATCTATTTTATTTTTAATTCTTTCTCTTCGAAATTCTGCGAATTTGGTCAAAATATCCCAGTGTCATGTCAGAATGGACGAAACCTTTCTTCAATAACACTGTATGTCAGCCATGAAAAACTGACATGAAAGAGTATGAAAACTTTTTGATGAAATAATTTTTAGAGTCGAAGGTTTTAATCTCAAAATGGAAATATCTCGAAAGATAAATAGTTGGAGTTTCAAATCGAATTGATAGAAGGTTAATTATTGGGAAATTTGCAAATAGCACTTGAATGTTCTCTTATTTACTCGTTGTCTTTTCAATCTGTCGAGAGGATAATTTCGAAAAGGATTCACAAGGTTTAAATTCAAAATAATTTGAACATTTTATGTTTTCATCACTAAGAGTGAGTTTACAATCTTAGTAACTAATGATTTTTGACTTACATGAATTGTTGCGTTGATCGGTGAGTATTAATTTGAGATTATCGAAGAATATAATGATGATATCGTAGTGTAGACTTTTGAGGTTGAAATCTCAAAAGTAAATGCACAAGCCAATGGCTGAAGTGCAAGTCGATTATCGGAGTTACGACGACTTTGACGACTGGTGACTTGTAGATGATGGGGGTGTACTGGTAACTGAATTCGGTGCCCTCAAGCAGCCCTTATATATCCTTGATTCGACCATGATGCATGGGGTGTTACCCTTCGACACATGGTGAGTCTCCGCTCGTGACAACGTGGCTATCTCGGTGCTGGTTGGTGGAGACTCTTATTTCTATAACTTTATCGGTTCCCCACGTGTCCGATTCTCGTAAGGTATCTGTCCCCCGGTATGGTACCGATCGTTCTCCAAAGTATGATAATGGCTTTGGAGGCGCCGCGATTATTCGAAGGGGAGCGTTTGTCTGAAGATTCGCCCCCTTGTCATTATCTTGGAATGGATCAATAATTTGACGAGTCCACTCGCTAGCCAGTTCTAATTTTTCTAATCTCATCATGATAAATTGAATAGAATATTGTACTCTTCATTTATGGATAGAATTTGTTTTAGTATAATTATTGAATTCTTAATTTTGAAGATTCTTATCTCTTAAAGATAAATAAATTAATCAAACAATTCACGGTTTTAATTGTTACATGATTATATTCTAGTTTTTGATTAATAGGTGTCGTCTCTTCATTTCTATTTCTATTATTCTTCGAATATATGGTTTCCACATTTGACCCTTCTGAGTGTTAATATTCGATACTCAGAATTGATTCTTGCTATTGTCCATTTATGTGTTTACAAAAAGAATGGGTCTTTTGTAAAGAAAATTATTTAGGAAAAATGTATTTTAATGCATTTTTCGACGGACGTCACACCAGAATGGAGTTGACTGACTTTGATTATAATCGGTATGAAGCGGATTTACCTATATATTACATATTTTTTCGATCTATAATCAAAGATGTTTTGGTATGTTTTGACCAAATTTGCGGAACAGAAAATAATTTTAAATTAAAATATATCTAGGACGAAAGCCAACTTGTACGACGGCTCAAAATACTTGTTTTGATTATAAGAATCATTGAAAAAAGCATGAGGAAAATCAAACGTGACGTAATTTCGAAAATTCGAGTTTTTCAACTTTTTCTTTGGATATTTCGTAATTATGAGCGCTTACAGATCGGCTAAAAAACTTTACCCATGATATTCTTATAGGTGGTAGAAAATTGAACATTTTGACGCATGGAATATCAAAATCGGATCGATAGAACCCGAGATATTGGAGAAAAATGAAAAAACTAAGAAAAAATCATATCTCCGAAGTGAGCTGCCGAAAAAATCTGAAAAAAAATTGATAGTTTTTTTAGCCCCCTAGTTGTAGAAAAAATCGCCAGCAATTTCCAACAGGGTGAGGCTCAGCCGTTGACTCAAAATCAAACATTGAAATCTCTCTTTTAAAATTCCATTAATTACTCCTCGATAAAATTATATAAATTCACAGCAGGGATGGGAAAATTGGGAATTTGGCGTTCCTGAATATTAAATTACATTTTTCTTTCGTAATTTGAGAAAAATAATTGGAGATTACAATTAAATATCAAGTTGTATATCAGTAATCCATTAATCCTTTGAAATTTATAATTCTTCTGAATCGATTGGAAAATACATGAGTTTTTATTAGCCCTAATTGCAAACTACTAAAATATTCGAAGGAATTTTCAATGACCTCTACTAACTATCGGCGATAGAAATAATCTAATAAAATGCCATTGGAGAATACTTGACTAACCGGGAATTTGATTTCTCAGATTACAGATTATTGAATAATAAATATTCACAATACCGAATTACTGGAATGGGCAAGTCATTTCATATTGTAGTTCTCCAAATTACATGGGTAATTTGGAATCTGACTTCGACGATTTTCCGATTAGGTAGAT